CCTGCTACATGGCAGTATGATCCCAACTGTGGTGGTTGCACGGAGGCCAAAATTGCCAACATGACCAGTGCCAATGGTCCTGTTTGCATGAGCTACTGCCAGTATGTGGGAACTGCGGTCTGGCAATATGACCCAGATTGCCAAGGATGCACCCAGGTGCGCTTGACACAAGACTCCAAGGGAGAGTGCAAGGACTACTGCCAGTACGAGCCTTCGAACGTATGGCAGTACGATGCTAATTGTGGAGGATGCACCCCTTCTAGCTAACGCTTTGTCAACCATTTTGGGCCAGGCATTCAACATCTTGCGATGTTCGTTATTAGCCGTTACAGGAGGCTCAAGGCTCTTGTTTGGGCCAATCGCTCCGCAGACAAAAAGGATCGGCATGGCAGCGGGAGTTCTTGCAAGAAGCGGATGCTCCACATGAACTCAAGCACATGCCCATGACCCTAAACATCCCATTGGGATTTTTCTGGACGATTTGTCCCAAGCACATGCCACATGCCCACCCATCGGATTTCGCCACCCATCTCGACGACCCATACCGAGATGTTGCCGGACGAGTTTTCGACGGATCAACGGCTCATCAGGCTTGGGCAACGGCGCTTAATCCTTCCAATTCACTGCAACGAATGCGTGTATTCTTAGCGTCTAGAGCACTGTCATGTAATCATCACTTGATGAGCTATGTGACATCAAGCACCCATACTTACCTGGGCGGAAGCTCGGAATCTAGATTGGCATCGAAGTGGTTTTGATCCGCTTTTTCAGATGCCGTACCCGTGGTGCCAAGACCAGTTCAGGGCAGCCTGGTAGCCATGGCTCTCCTTTGGCGAACTTCTGGGACATGCTTGGTGCAAGGCCACAGTGGCCACAGTTCAGAAGAAGATCCTCCAATGCTTTTGCCTGAGTTATTAGTAATGAAAGATATGAAAGGGCCCAGGCATGATCCAATGGTGTAAACATCTCATGACGTCAAAGTTAGAAGCCCCAGCAGTTATGGTGTTTGGTCCCGGTCCTCGTCTTGAGTTTGTTCTTGGATCGGTCTGTCCTTTGCGGTCATTTTTGAGAGTAGGCGGATAGCTCCGAGGCCTTAGTAACTTAGTAGGCGGTGACAGCGGCGACGTCGCTCTTTTGGAATACAAGGACAGGTGGACATTGGTGCCATTGTTGCAAGACCAATCGAAGCCGCACTGTGTTCCATTGACTAGCCTTCAGACCTTAACATCAGGGACCTTTAAAATACATTTAGCTTCAAGCTCAACTGAACACTAATGTCACTAATTAATTACTTCCGAGAAGCCAGCCACCCACACCACGTGCTGTGGCAGGTGCCTTTGGGTTCAGTGTGGATGCTCGCACAAATCAGTGAGACAAAATTGGGTGCAGCTTTTTTGCGGAACATAATGTATGGCTGTCCCAATCGCTGGACAAGATGCAACGAAACCGCGGAGATTATAGTGTGTGTATATATATATGGAAACACATTTGAATTCTTTAGGTGTTTGGGTAATTTTGGGTTACTTTGTTGGAAGCCAAAAGTTCCGAGATGGATGATGAGCAGCTTCATTTGGCACATCTGCGAACCTTAGCTAGACCTGCTTTACTTCCGAAGCTTCTTTTGCCCAAGCGGTTCAGCATTGAAAACCCATAGGCTGAGCCCTTTACTTACTCGCTAGGCGGGCAGTGCTTCCGCTCCTGCTTGGATCCAGCTCGTGTGTCGATCCTAATTTGGCAAGGCCACTAGACCAGCTAGACCTAAATTGGATTTTATGAGAGTATGGCCACTAGACCAGCTAGACCTGGAGGGTTGCGGGGACGCCACTTGCGGGGTCCAACAAACTGGCTGGAGGGATCTGGAGAGCCCACACTGCTCCCGCTTGACGCCACGCCCAGCATGGCTTTTGTCTTCGTTCTCGGATGCCTCACCCTGGCAGCTGCGGAGTGTGGCGGCTCCTGCCAGGCCAGGTGATGTGGGCTTTGTTTCTCAAAACAGAGACTATGACTATGACTTTGATGTTTTTAACTGTTTGTGTCAGGAGCACGACGGCTGGCGACACGATTTGCTACAGTTCTGATTTGTGTGAGACTGTGAGAATGCCGAGCGGCAGGAGATCGCAGAGCATGAAGAAGTTTTGGAGATGAACACGGAGCTTTTGCAGGAGCCGCTGGCATATCAGTCATTAGTTTTGTAGACAAGGCGGCGGTAAAAGGCAGCATAGAGATCGAGCCCACAAATTATATAGCCAAGCGACATTTGAGATGCCCCTTTTGCATTTGAACATTCTGCGGCGGAGCGGGGTATTTGGAGTCCTTTGTTAGGTGAAGGTTGAGCTGTCGAAGAATCAGTGCGTGCCCAAGCTGTCGGCAAAAACCAGGAAAACTTGACTGGTTAGCGGACTAAAGCCTAGCCTTGACACCCGTGTGAGAGAGAGAGAGAGCGAGCAGATGGGGGACGCTTTCTTGAGGGAGGCCCATTTCTCCAGTTGCCAAGTCTGTTTGCACATCTTCCTTCCACACACTCTAGCATAAGGCTTGACCTTGCAGATACGGCGGAGAGAGGCCTCCGGGCGGCAGAGAGTTTCCACTCCAACACCAACACAATGTTCGCTCTTGTATTGCTTGCAAAATCTTGTAAAGGTTCCTGTTCCATCCTGTTCCCGCATGCCGGGTTTGAACATCAACCGTAGCCTCTTTATTGCTGCTTATGATTGAAGCACAGGCATGAGGGCAAATATGTTGCTTGCCACACTGTGCCACAGATAGGAACTGAACTCCATTCCTTGTTGAACCAAGGTGCCACGGTCAATGCAGCAGCTGGCTTAGAGTGCAGATTGAGGGATAATTGAATTTTGTTGAAGCTGCTCTTGATTGACAATACTCATTGACTCACCTTGCATCATGTTTTTCGAACGCCAAGGCCGCAACGACAGGCGGAAACTGCGAGAGCTGGTGCCAGTATGAGGGGACTGCCGCATGGCAGTATGATCCCAATTGTAACGGCTGCACATCCTCACTCATTCAACAGTTTGCAGCACAGGTGCCGGGAGTTTGTGCCACCTGGTGCAAGTATGAGGGACCTGCTACATGGCAGTATGATCCCAACTGTGGTGGTTGCACGGAGGCCAAAATTGCCAACATGACCAGTGCCAATGGTCCTGTTTGCATGAGCTACTGCCAGTATGTGGGAACTGCGGTCTGGCAATATGACCCAGATTGCCAAGGATGCACCCAGGTGCGCTTGACACAAGACTCCAAGGGAGAGTGCAAGGACTACTGCCAGTACGAGCCTACGAACGTATGGCAGTACGATGCCAACTGTGGAGGATGCACACCCGCCTCTTTGTCTCAGGGCGTTGCTCAGGAGTCTGAGCAAAATTGCAAGGGGCACTGCAAATTTGTGGGCGCTGCTGTTTGGGCCCGTGAGGCTGATTGCCGTGGCTGCCAAGCTTCGCTGATGCAGCAGCACACAGCACAGGTGCCGGGAGTTTGTGCCACCTGGTGCAAGTATGAGGGACCTGCTACATGGCAGTATGATCCCAACTGTGGTGGTTGCACGGAGGCCAAAATTGCCAACATGACCAGTGC